CAGCACCCAAAATCCAGTGGGGTTTGTTCATTAAGTGGGTTACTGCCAGTACAATTGTAACGTGAAAGAGGGGATAGAGACGTGCTGAGTCCAGAGGCATATGAGGGTGGGAGATTGAAACTGCTGCTCAACACAGCCTGCTCAGGCGTGCTCTATTCCAGTGCGGTGCCCATGGCCTATGAGAGTGACAGCTTGGAGATGCTGCTCAACCCAGCCTACTGAGTCCAGGGACATATAAGGAGTCAACTTGGGAGTCCTGATTAACCCGGTCCTCTCAGACACGCGCTGTTAAATGTGTGTGTGTGTTTTCATCTGATTCTGGGGCTGGAAGAATCCAGCCCTGGGGAACCTAGGTCCTGCAGGATTGCTCCATTGGCAGGGTGTGACCAAGTGGGAATGTTCTTAATGTTTTCTCTGAATACTGTGTGAGTGCCTCAGTTTCCTCTATGCATTTCTTAGGTATGTAGGTGGGGGGATCCGGGTGTAATTGTTGCAGAGCCCAAGAAGGCCCTGTGATACTGTCTGCACAGAGAATGGCCGGCACTGTGTCTCCTGGCAACTGACGGCCTGGGCCCCTCCCGTGCAAGGTGCCAGCTGAAGATGTTGGAGAACAAAGAGATCAGGTGACCTCCTGGCCCAGGAAAGAGACAAAGGCCAGAGGGGAGGGGCGGGAGAGTCTCAGTTTGGAGCTGGCTGGGAAAATGGAGGGGAGCCCAGATGGGTGGCTAGCCTCGATGGGGCCCCCCAAGATGGACCGGACTGAGGGAGTCCTTTTGTCTGTGCCTGCAAGACCTGTATTGGACTGTGTTCCTGTCGTCTAAATAAACCTTCTGTGTTACTGGCTGGCTGAGAGTCATGGTGAATCGCAGGAAGCCTTGTCTCCCTCTCACTCCTTGACAGAGGGAACTTGCAGAAGGGGGAAGTAGATTTCCGTATGAGAACACAAGTGACACAAGCAGTACATTCATAGAAGTACAGAACCCCCGCCTCCCGCCCCAGAAGAGTAACCCTAATAAATGAGCATGCCCAAAGTAACAGGCAAAGCTGGTAACAAAGTCCATCAATGGCTATTAGCCATGATGGACAGGGATGGTGTCCTTAGTATCTGTTTGCCAGCAGCTGGGAATGGGAGACAGGGGATGGATCACTTGACGAATGCTGCTCTGTTCATTCCCTCTGGGGCACCTGGCATTGGCCACTGACGGAAGACAGGATACTGGGCTGGATGGACCTTTGGTCTAACCCAGTATGGCCGTTCTTATGGAGAAATGTGGGCTACCGTTAAGTGGATACATAACTGGTTAAACAACCGCAAACAATGAGTAACTGTTAATGGACGATGTGGGGTTGGAGGGAGGTCTCAACTGAAGTCCCACAAGGATCTGTGCTGGGTTCCGTGTTGTTTAACATCTTTATCAATGACCTGGATGTAGGACTAGGGAGCAGACTCATCAAATCTGCAGGTGACACAAAGCTTTGGGGGTTGCCAACACTTTGGAAGATGGAGCTAAAATTCAGAGTGATCTCAATAAATTGGAGAACTGGGCTGTAGACGACACACTGAAATTCATGAAGGACAAATGGAAGGTGCTCCACTTAGGGAAGAAAAACCAAATGCACAAATACAGGATGGGGAAGAACTATCTTGGCAGCAGCACTGCTGAGAAGGAGCTGGGAGTTGGGGTGGATCACAACCTCGACAGGAGTCAGCAATGCGATGCTGTTGCAAAAAAAATCAAAGGCAATTTCAGGTTGCATTACCAGAGGCAGAGTATGCAAGTCAGGAGAGGTGACACTACCGCTCTACTCGGGGCTGGCTAGGCCTCAGCTGGAGGACTATGTCCAGTTTCAGTCACCAATGTATAGAAAGGATGCAGAGAAAGTGGAAAGGATGCAGGGTTCAAGGATAAAGGGATAGCTTAGTGGTTTGAGAATTAGCCTGGTAAACTCAGGGTTGTGAGTTCAATCCTTGAAGGTGTCATTTAGAGATCTGGGGCAAAAATCTGTCAGGGGCTTGGTCCTGCTTTGAGCAACGGGTGGGACTAAATGTCCTCCTGAGGTCCCTGATATTCTATGAAGTTATGTTGGTATAAAGATGATCAAAGGGATGGAATGCAAGCCCTAGGGGCCCAGCCTGAAGGAACTGGATATGGTTAGTTGGGAAAAGGGATTGGGGGAGGGGGACATGATTGTGACTGTCAAATCCTTGAAATTCTGCCATAGAGAAGCTGGAGAAAAGTTGTTCTCTCTCGCCCAAGAGGGTAGGTCAAGGGGCAGTGGGTTCAAACTGCAGCAGAGTCAATTGAGATTAAATCTCAGGAAAAACTCCCCACCTGTGAGAGCAGTGGGACAATGCACCAGATACCCAGGGAGGTGGTGGAAGCTCCTTCACTGGGGGGTTTCGAGAGGAGGTTGGACAGCATCTGTCTCAGGTGCTTTAGACCCAACAAATCCTGCATCTTGGCAGGGGTTGGACAAAGTAACCCCTGTGGTCCCTTCTTCCCCTTTAGGTCTGTGATTCTAGGATTCACTGAAAAATACCGAGAATTAATGTGAATGTCATGACAACCCCAACCCCTCCCTGAAATTCGCTAATACATCCCAAGGCTTGCTTTAAAAATCCTGACATTGGCTTTTAAAATCCATAGATTTGTGTTTTGTCTCCGCACACGCTGTTGTTTGTGACCTGTTGCCTTATCCCTCCTCCTGCCCCCACCCCATGGGTGCTGGTGTCGCCCCTGCATGTTGAGTGGCTTCGTTCTGTGGGGACCCAGTGGAGCTGGATGGCTTGGAGGTGGGTAAAGTGTCCCCGGAGGGTGGGGGCAGAGTGCAGAGAGCTGACGGCTCCCCCCTCTGCAGCCAGGGCGGGGCGCTAATGCTGTCATCCCTGCCCCACAGCTGTTTCCCCCGCCCCCACTGCACCATGCTCCTCCTGCAGCTGGGACTCTCCTCCCCCTATGAAAATAGTACTGGTCACTCCCCCTCCCCACTCTTCTGAGAATGGAAGGGGCCACTCCCTCCTCCCCACTACTCACATGTTGTCATAAATATAAAGGGAAGGGTAACAACCTTTATGTATGCAGTAACATAAATCCCTCCTGGCCAGAGGTACAGAATCACTTTACTTGTAAGGGGTTAAGAAGCTCAAATAACCTGGTTGGCACCTGAACAAAAGGACCAATAAGGAAAGAAGATACTTTCAGATCTGGAGGGGCAGGGAGAGGTTCTGTTTGTGCTCTCTTTGTTTGTTCCCTCTCTGGATGGAGAGAGAGACCAGGCAGGTAAAACATCTCCTGAAAACATACCTCAAATGATACATCTAAAATTTCAGAAATTGTAAGTAAGGGCAAGGAAATGCGTTGGATTATCTTTTGTTTTAGCTTGTACATTTTTCTATGCTAAGAGGGAGTTTTATTCCTGTTTTTGTATCTTTGAAGATGAGCGTGGAGGGGAATCCTCTGTGTTTAAATCTTTTTATCACCCTGTAAAGTTACCTTCCATCCTTATTTTGCAGGTTTGATTCTTTTACTTTTTCTTTAAATAAAGTTCTTCCTTTAAGAACGTGTTTGATTTTCAATGTCCTAGGGACAAAGAGTCTGGTCGGTACTCGCATTATTCTCAAGCCTCCCAAGAAAGGGGGTGAAGGGTCTTGGGGGAATATTTGGAGAACAAGGGACTCCAAGTGGTCCTTTTCGTATATTTTTATCTAAATCACTTGGTGGTGGGAGCAATACTGTCCAAGGTCAAGGAAGGATTTGTGCCTTGGGGAAGTTTTTAACCTAAGCTGGTAAAAATAAGCTTAGAGGGTCTTTCATGCGGATCCTCAGATCTGTACCCCAGAGTTCAGAGTGGGGAGGGAACCCTGACATGTGTGAAAATGGTATTGGACACTCACACTGTCATAAACAGATAGGTAAGGGTTAATATCTCTTTTACCTGTAAAGAGTTAAGAAGTTCACCTAGCCTAGCTGACACCTGACCAGAGGAACCGATGGGGGGATAAGATGTTTCAAAAGGAAGGAGGGAAGTTTAAGATTTGACCGGAGTGAGAAAGCTCCAGAATTCAGCCTCTTATCAAGTAGTGAGTATTAGTGAAGGAAATAAATAGGTTTATGTTTATTTTCTTTGTAACTTGTCTTGGGCATTAGGGAATAATCAAATTGGGTTTTTGTGTAACTAAGTTTTTGCCCACAAGAACATCCTATGTGTTTTGAGTCTATTGTCTGTGAGATCAGCTTGCATGCTATCTCCCAAAGGGTTTCTTTTACCTTTCTTTTCTTTAATTAAAAGCCTTCTTTTTAAGAACTTGATTGATTTCTCCTTCTGTTAAGATCCAAGGGTTTGGATTGGTGTTCACCAGAAAATTGGTGAAGAAGTCTCTCAAGGCTATCCAGGGAGGGAAAGGCTTTTTGGGGGGAAGACAGAATTTCCCAAAGAACTCATAAATCATTTGGGTAGTGGCAGTAAAAGCAAATCTAAGCTGGTAGTTAAACTTAGAGGTTTTCATGCAGGTCCCCATATCTGTACTCTAAAGTTCAGAGTGGAGGTGAAACCTATGACACAAACCTTCCCCCTTTCTCACCTGTTAATATGGTTTGGGCCACTCCTCTTACCCCTTCCTCACCTATGAGAATGGTATGGGACTCTCAATTCTATCCCCTCCTCCCCTATGAAAATATTGTGGTCTACTTACTCCTCACACCTCCTTTCCATTTAAAATGGTATGAGCCACTCACCTATTCCCCATTCCCTTTCTGGGCAAATGGTACGAGGCAATGGTTCCTCGCACCCACATGAAAATGGTACCGGCTGCTCCCCCTTTTCCCTCCCCTACCTAAAAACCCCTCTCAGTTTCTGAGGGGGGAGCTGTCTCCCTCCTGCAGCATCCCTGATTGGCTGACCTTTTCCAGGAGGCGGGATAAGTGGGCAGGGCAGGAGGGGCATGGACCAGCCTTGAGAGATCCAACCTCCATCCCCATCCCTGGGGGGCTGCCCTGTCCCTTTGCAGTGTCTGGGAGCCCCAGGGGGTCTGTGCCTCACACAGATCCATAGGGGACAATGGGGTGAGCACAGCTGGAGGTTGAGAGAGAAGTTTGCGTGTATGTGCTCCCCCTGGGGTATCTATAACTGCCCCCTGAAATGCCTGACCTCCCAGCAGTTCCATTTCCCACCATCCCCCTGGTGCCTTCAAGTGTTCTAGGGAAGGAAGCTGAGAGATGAGAGCTGGGGAACCCCTTGCTGTACGTGCCCCCCTAAGCCAACGCC